TCATTTATAACTGGTACATAGTAACTCACACTATGTTCAGTTATGTACAAACATTCAGCGATCAGCTGATCACTGAATGTTTGTACTCCACTTTCCATCCTGAATCGGCTGTCACAGGAGGCAGAGCAGGGCGGTGCGGGAGGAGAGCTCCGCCTTCTGTTACATCACAGTGCTCTCCTCCAATCACCACTCTAGATGCTGATACACAGACCGGCCAGTACCATTTTGCCAAAAGTGCCAATTTCAGCTGAAATGTTTTGGCGACTGAAATTTCGGTGCATCCCTACTTATTAGTTAAAGGAGAACTATGAGGTGAGTGCTTTTCACTGGCCTCATAGTTCTAGCCGACGTGTGACAATGAGACTGTCACAGGTCGGCTCAGTAGATCGTGAAGTGAGCGAACACATACCGGCATTCGCTCACCTCTCGATCCTGTCACAGCTCTCTGCCGTGACAGGGGAGGGGCTGGATTTCCCCCCTACCCGCTCCAATCCTCTAGCGCTGACTGGCGGATCGGACGGGGAGGGGGCGGGTACAGCTGGCTCTGCCTCTAGATAGGCAGAGCCAGCTGTCACTCATGCAGCTGGGCGGATCCAGACATAATTGTCGGGATCCACTTCAGCTGCGGCGTCTCAGTATACCGCGAGCAGTAGCTCGCGGTATACTGTGGCGTCTCAGTATACCGCGAGCTACAGCTTATACCGCGAGCTATACTGAGCTTAGGGTAACGGGAGGACGCTAGTTTGTGTCCTGCCGTTACCCCAAGGAGAACTATGGGGAAAAGCCTTAACCCCATAGTTCTCCTTTAAGGTATGTTTGCATGACAGGTCTATATTCACTCCTTAGCCTAATAAATTAACCTAATTTAAATGTATTAACATAAACCTAAACTAATTTGATTGGCTTGCTAACCATTGACATGTACATGCTCCAAGCTAAATGGCATATAAAACAAAATCCTGTATGCTATGCTGTAGATGGGAAAATAGCAGCATTTTTATGAGTATTTATTATTGAAATCTCTATTCCAAGCACCAATGTATGAAATTTCAAATGCTAGCTAGTTCTTGTACTTACACATGCCCAAAAACGTATGCACATGTGTCCTCTAATGATAGCTGTGTGTAGTCATGCAATTTCCTATATAGCATGCACAATTTCAAATTCTAATGGCAGTTAGGTAGACCTGAAAACAAATAAAATAAAAAAAAATTTTAGGCACACCATAGCTGGAGTGTAAATTCCAAAGTAGTTCAAAATTATTAAAATAAATAAATGTTACTAATATACGCTGTAGCCTTTCTGCACACATCTGGGAGCATAGCACATTTCAAGAGGATACAATTGAGCTGCCAGCAAACTTCCATACCCTTTAATATATTAGGGGCATTGTCAGGTCCAGTAATCTCATAAATAAAATAAAAAAATAAAAAAAAAGATTTTTCTGTTTTATAATATAGAAAGCTCATATTTAACATTAGTCCTAGACTCCTCCAATGATGACATGTCCAGGCTCCAGTTGCCACTGTGTCCAACAGCAACACTGTCTTCACTGTCACTTCTTCCAGGTCCTTTGACTCCTCTTCAGCCATTGGATGGCAATTGCTGATGTAATTCCAAGAGATGCCCACAGTTACATCATGCTGACCACCTGGGTGTATTTTCAGCATGCCAAGAATCAGCTGGGATGTACACTGCTTGGTGCATTCTTTCTTCAGTGTACATTGGAAAAGCTAAATGACAAGAAGCATGAGGCCAAAAAAACTTTGCATGTTTATTTTACAAACAAAAAAACTCTAACTCTGCAATTTTTAGCTGAGGATCTAAAAAGTTAGTTCTTTAATTGAGAAAATGGAAGCCAGGGAGACAATTTTTATAGGCTTTTAATGAGGATGGGCTGCCAGAGGGAATATGATGCCACATGTTATACCATGCTTTACTCCTTATGTTTCCTCTTTAGTAACAGTCCAGAACAGTGTGTCCGATTGATGCCAATGCCTACATTTTACAAATAAAGTCAAGTACTTGTGCATGTTAAGCAGTTCCAGGGACTTCTTTTTTTTTTTTTTTATCATACACCAAGATGCTAGCTTTCTTATTTAATAAAAAGTGCAAGGAACTAATTCTTCTAATCTGAAGGAAACAATTAGAATACACTTTGTAAAAGTCAGACTCATACAGAATGAATTCTGATTGGTTATTGAACTTAAAATTGATCACTGTGCTCCTTGCACACTTAATTAAATAAGGCTAAGAAGTATGACTCTTCTCAGAAGTTTGTCATTATTTCTAGACCAGCGTTTTAAAACCTTTTTTTCAGTCATGGCACCTTTTAAAGGTATGCAAAATCTCAAGGTGTCCAGAACGTAAATGTATCAAAATAGGTGTGGTCATCACAAGATCAATACCAGACCCTTATCCTAGAAAGTGGTCTGGTATGGGTTTTAAGGGAGGACCCCAGGCAAAAAAAAAATAAAGATAACGCGGAGTTTCCCCCTTTACATTTTTTGGTGTCTTCCAGTGCGCTTTTTTTTTTTATACTCAAATTCATTTCTAGTGCATTACAGTGTGCTCTGGTGCATTTGCATGTGTTTATTTGTGTTTTTTGGTGCCCTCTAAACCGGAAAATATTGCATTGCAGTACTATTTTTAAACGTTCTGGAACTGAACGCAATGGTGTGAACTGATCTCAGTTTTTAACATAGGAATGAATGGGTATACATTTTTGGACCAGACAAAAAGCATTCTGGTCTGAATCTGGATCTGGTCTGAAGATGGTGTGAACAAGCCCTTACTCCTGGTGAAGAACGACCTAAGTGAAACACTGGGTTATTTAAGATTGCTAAAGACTGAAAACTATACTTAAGTCTGACACAGTTCAATTAAAGGAGAGAGTAATAAGTGAAAGTTGCATGTGTAGCCATATTGAATGGTAAGCAAAGTTTTGGTTAAGGATATAAGCTTTTAGGATATGCGTAGCGTTTAGTTTTGGATAAAGTATGGGAGGTTTAAATCGATTTAAATCGACTATTCTCATTGTCGATTAGTTGATTGTTCGATTAGTTGCTGCCACCACTCTGCATCTCCATTCTCCTCCCCGCTGGTGCTGCAGCTGTCTGTGTCCCTTTCAGTCTCCGCTGCTCTCCCCGCTTGTATCGGCAGAGGCAGCGGGGACACAGACTGCTGCAGCCGGCACCAGCGGGGAGGGCAGACTGCTGTGCCTCTGCATTACCTTGTTGCTGTTGTTCCTCCGGTGCTGCCATCGTTCATGCGATTCTGCTGCCCTCGTTCATGTGATGCTGCTGCCGTTCCTCAGCTGCTCTCCCCGTGCCCCGTCCCTACGCTGCTGCCCCTGTACCACTGCTGCTCCCCCGTGCCCCCTCTTCTGTCGGTGGCAGAAAGCCGGCGTTACAGCTCCCTTTAGCGACTGAGAGCAATATCCAGCCTGCTGTTGGTTATTTTAAATTGCAATAGCCAATAGCAGGCTGGCTATTGCACCCGCCCACTGCCTGCTGTCAATCAGCAGAGGAGGACCTGAAGGAGAACTTTCTCCTTCAGTTCCCTCCTCTACTGATTGATATAGCCACCTGCAATGGAACATGCAGTACTGCAATACCATGCATTGCAGTGTGGTTCGAGTGCAAAAAATGTGCAAACCTTTTTATTCTGAAGTAAACTTTGTTTGTAACACTGCATTTTTTTATTTTATTTTAAATTAAGCTTAGTAGAAGTCACTGTGGTGGGCTTAAACACCTAATGGTTTCATCTCTCTCTGAGGGACACCAGTACTGAGATTTTGCTGCAAGCATTGTCAGCTCTGGTCCAGCTTCAAAGTGTTACTGCTCCTTTTTCAGCAGTAATAGTCATACCCTACTTTCTGCATTCTCTGTAACCCAATGTATATGAGACATCTAACACAGAGAGTGAGGTTTAATTGTAAGGACTGAAAACAAATGGCAGACTTTGGAACTTGTAGAGTACTGCAAGTCAAATGTAATTGTTGGGTGGATAGAAACTTTAAATAACACCTGTCATCAGCAAATAGTGCTTTAGTTCACCATTGCCCCCTATCTATGCTGCAGCTCCCATAAAGATTCTATACAAATCCAGACTTTTCTGAAAGCCGGCGATTGCATGCAGCTAAGCATAACCAGGTACACAAAGTCTGCCACCTATTATGATGCTTAGAAATAATAGAGAAGGGCCTACCATGCTAAATGAGCCGTTTACTGAACACGGTTTTTACAATGGATCATTTTGCAAACATGCAAGGAGGTGCACCTTAGACCCTAGTTGTTTCCATGAAAATGTTTTATTGGTTGGCTGGGAAAATCCATTCTGGCTGATCATCCCTTCTCCTGGGCAGGCTCAGCCAGAAGGCAACATGGCAGACCAACAGACAAGTGAGCAATCCAGAGTCAGAAGAACATTTTCTCTACATCTGTTTTTGCTCCTTTAAAGTTATTTTGGTAAATTAAAGGACATATTGACAGCCATGAAGGAGAACTACCTGAACAGGAAAGTGCGGCTTTATCAGCTGATGCAAAAAGTTCTCTATGATCTAGTATTTCAGAGTTTATTCTATTTCACTTTATTCCCTGCAGAATGAAATGTTCCAAGAAGACATGTGCTTACTGTTTCAATGTTACTGTATACTATAATCATATTTACTGTTTTAAATGGCCATTGTACATAAAGTATTATGCACAGAAAATCTGTTAATACTTTCATAAATTCAAGAAAACAATGCTTCCATTGAACAATCCGATACTAATATCCAGTGATAAGATTTAAATTGTTGCAATCATTCATTAATTTTTTAGCATTTCAGCATTCTTAACTGTTATTGATATTGCTTAACAATGAATAAATAGCTGCATTTTAATTAATGAAGCTGTACAGTGGATGTTTGCTTATGCTTTAGACCTGATGAGGGTAGAGACTGGGAGAGTTTCCTTTATTTTAATCAAGCAGTGTTTGTTTACCAATTTGTTTTTCAGTGTTAGAACGCAAGATTTCCATGAGACAGAGCCGAGACGAGCTTATAAGAAAAGGAGTTCTCAAGGAAATACCAGACCATGGTGAGAATGTAACCCAGTTTATACACAACACATGTAAACTATTTTTTATACTGAATAAAAGTATAGTAAAATGAAAATCCAAGAGAACCAAACACTTCCAAATAAAACTATATTGGGCATTTTGAACCAGTGAGAGCACTTGATTGGCAGGTCTTACATTTTAGTATTACTTTTATATATTTGGAATCTAAACAGATAGGAATAACAAATTATATAAAACTGAAATTTTTGGTCTGGTGCATGTATCTTCATCTTTGTACTAGAGTCCTATAAGGGCATAAGTGCACAGTACACATGTCAATTTGACTGTAAAATCTATGCTTAGTCAACTTTAGATATATACGAAAATCTGTAGGATTCAAGCCTAATAAAAACATTCATGAAAAAAATGAAGAAATCTTGCAATGTGAGTCATGAAAATGTGCACACATATACATCATCGCTGCACCTCTACATTGCCACAGTAAATGCTAATCACTTACAAAGATGGAAATGGACTTTCTTTGATTTCAGCGGCTTTGTTTTTTAATATAATAATGATTTCTTTGACATGAATTGGGGTTACATCTATAACCAAAACTTCTTTTTTTTTTATTTGGACAGAGTGAGGAATGGTGTTTTATCGGGAAGATTTCCTTTTTTATTTTCTCTTCTGTAGACATAAAGGGAAGTTGGGAAGTTAGGGGAAAATTCTCCAAAGTGAAGGAAATGTCCTTTCAGACAAAGGGCAAGAATACATCTCCTGAGGGCTTGTTCACACCAGTTGGCTGCTGGAACGCACTGTATCGCATCCTGGCCAGCTCTCTGCGTTCTGGGGTGGGAGGGAGGGGGCGTGGCGGTGCATTCAAGTCAATGGCACCACAGCCACACCCCCCGCAGTGCGATCGCCTGCACCAAAACGTGTGACACAACAATGCCTGCATTCTGGTCAAGTGCGATCGCAAAAAATAGTGCTTGCAGCAGTTTTTGCGATCGCACTAAACCGTAACGCAGGCATTGTTGAGCCACTCGTTCTGGTGCGGGCAATTGCACTGCGGGGGGGGGGGGGGCG